CCACCGCCGATCCCGATTTTGATACTGCCGTAGATCCCGTTTTGGCCGTCGATCCGGACTTGGACACCGCTGATCCTGTTTTGGATGGGGCAACGGATCCAGCCTTGGACGCCGTAGACCCAGTCTTGGGTCCGGATCCAGATTTTGACGCAGCAGCGGTGGATCCCGTCTTGGACGTCGATCCCGATTTGGACACCGTCGATCCCGTTTTGGACGTAGCAACGGGTCCAGTCTTAGACGCCGAGGTAGACTTGGATCTAGCGGTGGATCCAGACTTGGATCCGGCACCTGACTTCGAGGGAGAAACGGAAGTCTTGGGCGCGGGTGTAGATCCTGCCTTGGACACAGAAGTGGATCCCGCTTGCGGAACAGATTTAGAAACCGGATTCGTTTTGGGCTTGGCCTTCGGGGAAGCTCGGGCCTGCTTATGGGGACGGGAGGATCCGGTGCTAGGAGCGGGAGATGTACTACGCGGGCGTTTCGCAGTCGACGAATCCGCCCCGCTTACCGACGGAAGAGGAGCAGAAACGCTAGCAGCCTGAGAGGGCCCCGACAAGGGAGGGAGTGGATCCGAGACGGCAGCTGTCACCAGCGCCAGTCGTCGACGTGCCAAATCGCGCTCCGACAGGCCGCGATCGCGCTCCAGGATCAGCTGTTGCTGCTGAGTTTGGGCTGCGGAAAGTTGATCCTGGAGTTTTGCGGTGGTCGCGTCTGCTTTCTTCAATTTGTCACCTAGATTGACAATAACAAGTGAATATGGAGTTACTAGCAAGGACTAAAAGAGGATCCACGTACTCATGCGGCGAAGCTTGGATTCCAGCTCCGTTAGCGCACGCTCGGCATCCGCCCACTCGGTAGTCGCCTTGTCCCGCTGGAGCTCGCTGTCTGCCAGTTTCGTTTGGATCTCATCCCGCAATCGAGTCATACGCACGAATTCTTCGAGCGCGTAATCTCGTCCGGCAGACGCCCTCTCGAGCGACTCCTTGGTGTCTTGCAACTCCTCAGAGAGTTGAGCCAGGGCCACATCCGGCGACGAGGGAGGTGGATTTGGCGCGGGGGACCCTCCACGCGCCGACCCTAAGGCGGATCCGTCATGGGCGGATCCCACATAGTCGTTGGTCACCACCTCCTCCTGGGTCAAACGCAACTCGTCACGGAGGCGGTCCAAGCTCACATCCGCAGCTGCCCTAGCAGTCTGGGAATCCTCCAGATCCCGCTCGAGGTCGTGGATCCGTGATTGGAGTTGGTGGATCTCAGATCCGACGAGTGCCATCTCCCTAAGGAGATGGTCGTTGTCATCTCGCATATCGTCTCGTTGACGGGAGGCGCGATCCAGCCGTCCGGTCAGGTCGCGGATCTCGACCGCCTGATCAGCCAACAGGAGTCGCAGGTCCTGCGACCGAGAGGCCGCACGGTGCTCCCACCCCTGGATCTCCATCGCTTGGTCATGGATTTGGGCCCGCAAGGTCTGAAGTTGGGTAGTGTGTAGAGACGCAGCTTGGTCTTGGACATCTTGAGCCGTCTGGAGCTCCGCCGTCAGGGTTTGCACCTGATCGGAAAGAGCCTGGGCTAGAACCCGCAGATCGGTGGGCGACATGGAAGACGGACTGGCCGGAGGTGTGGTGGATGGGACCTTGCCCGACGATTGGCCGGTACGCTTGGCGGGAGACATGTGTCGCGAAGGAGAGAAAGCGGTTGTGGATGCTGGTGATGCACGTCGTGGACGCTGTTGTGCAGCGCCGACCACGTACAGGAGGCGATTGTGGTGAAGTGCTTTCTCAGAAATAAGAGAATGGTCCAGACGCGGGGTCACTATCCCGAATCAGTGACAATTTCAAGTGATTATAGAGGATTTGGGTTGTTTGGCACGGGTGCAAGTTGCCTGTGGTGGATTAGTCATGGCGAGCAGCACCCCGTATGGAATGACGATGGATCTGATATGAGCGATGTACGAGAAGGCAAGATCCACCAAGACTTACCTCGGATCCACCCTTACCTGGATTCACTAAGATGGATATGGGATATACTATACAAGAGTGGATCGAGTGCGGATCCTATGAAGGAAGGATGGTCGGTGCTCTCTGACGGTGGATCTAGTAGCCACGGCTAATGAAGAGTCAAGATCCACCGCGAGGTACCCCGGATCCCATACCTCCGAGTTCGTATCCAAGGAGGGAGGATCCCGCCTGGAGGGACCTGGATCCAGGGTATAGGGATGAGGGATACAGTGGATCTCGAACTTTCGTGGGACAACGGAGATCACAGATGGTTGCGAGATGATGTTGGATGATTGGAGAGCTCGGATCCACGGCGAGTGTACCATTACAGTGAGGTGGATCCAAGCGACCTGGATCCGGATGAGTGTACCCATAATAGGGTGACCATGATGATTACGTCATATATCCGGTGGATCTGAAGATAACACAGCTGGGATGATG